CCCCCCCCCCCCCCGCATTTTGTTGTAAATTCTAGCTGGAAACACAGCCCTCACATATAAGTCAATTCTTTAATGGGTAGCCTCAATTATGGGACCACAAAAGGACGAGGCAGCAGAAGATACGGATTAATGACCATCTCTGGTAGGGAGACTTGAGTTCAAATCCTATGGCTCTGCCATTTCTTTAGAACTATGTGAGCTTGGACACGTTGCTGAAACTTTCTAGGCCTGTTTTCCTCATTCGGATAATGGGGTGATAGGCCCACGTCACAGGCTTGGTGTACGTGTCAAAGTAATGTATATAGCGGCCTTAGCATAGCTCCTGGCACAAAATCAAGACTTATACACACTGGCTATTAACAAGAAATCAAATTCTCTGAGCAGCTAAGATATATCACAAATCCTGTGACGTTGAGCACTTTTGCTCAAGGACAACCCATTAGGCCCGCACTGAATCTTTATACTTTGATTTTGACAGTCAGGACCGATCTGTCTTTGACAGGGGATATCATTTGGTTTCCCACGACCTAGCATGGCAAAAGCCTCTATAATCTGAAGGTGGGGGCAGGGGAGAAGCAGGGCAATTGTCAGGGACAAGAAGGACAAGTGATGGAACAGAACAGAGCAAAGCCAGGGCTCCATTCTAGGAATCTTGAGGGTATTTAGAAAAGGTACAAGCAGCCTTGTATTCCTCCCGAGTCCCTGAAAACACCACTGTGTCGTCCAATACCCCAGTGATTCATGACGACGGTGAAGTGTGCCTTAGGCTTCAGATAAAGTGTGTGCTCGATATTTAAGAAGGCAGAGAGCCAAGTTTTCCACTGCCAAGCAAACACTATCAGGGAGGTCAAAATCAACACGTTAGTGCTTGATGACAGGGGAGTCTCAGTTGCATGGAACATCTCGGTGGGCAAAACAACTCAATTCCCAACAAAGCTGAATAAATGAAGTGTCACTCTGTTTATAAAGCTTAAACATCTCTGGGGCACCTGGGTGGCTCAGCTGGTTAAGCAGCCGATGTCGGCTCAGGTCACGATCTCACGGTTGGTGGGTTCGAGCCCCGCGTCAGGCTCTGTGCTGATCGCTCGGAGCCTGGAGCCTGCTTTGGATTCTGTGTCTCCCTCTCTCTCTGCTCCTCCCCCACTCATGCTCTGTCTCTGTCTCTCAAAAACAAATAAACGTTAAGAAAAAAAAAAAAAAAATTGTTGAAAGCTTAAACATCTCTGCAAATCGGCACTGCATAAATTCACCCCCGCCTCCCCCAAAAGACAGTGGCCACTTCACTTTGGTGCAAAGAATCAGGGTCAACTTGCCCGTGACACTTTTAATGAATGAAATGTGTTCTTTTGTGATATGCCCCCTCTCAATTCGTGTTTTCCGCTCCGAAGGGGCGCAGTGAAAAACAGCAGACAAAATCCAGTAACAAACAAGACCTCACGCACGTACTCTTCTCGACAATGGAGTTTATGGAAAATTCTGCTCCTCTCCACACTTGAGGTTGCATGATGGTTGGCCCGGGGGAGGCCGGACTAGGTGGTGTTCCAGGTCCCCTCCGACCCGGCCGTTCTAGGATACAGTTACCTGACCCAACTAACAGGTACCCAGTGAGTGTCCTTGGTCAGCTTCTCTAGGAGCGCTCTGAGCTGGCTGTGTGCGCTCTGGAGGTCCTCCTTCACCAACACAGAGTCCACCAGGTGCCCGTAGTGCTGGTCTATGAAGGCGGCGGAAGCGGCCATCTCCCGCTGCTGTTCATCCTGCAAAGAAGAGAGGCGGTTACGGAGCAACTGGGTGGTTCTCGCTCAAAATGAGACACCTCCAGTCTTCTTCTCGGGCAGTGGTCCAGCCTCTCATTTTCCAGCGATGAGCGGGCGACTGTGGCCCGTGAGTAAGCGACGGCGCGCCCAAGAACAGGCTGTAGTGGTGACAACCCGTCACGGCCCCAGAAATGTCGCCAGGCGGCAGACCTCATCATCGTTCGTCCTCTCGAAATACCCACTACGCATCTGTTCACCTCCAGCCATGGCATGTGCTCTGGGGGGGGAGGCCGATTCTCTACCCGTGCGTACATCTATGTCAGTATCACACTTCCTGTTGGAAGAGATTTCCAAAGAAGCGGTACTGTTGTGCTGCACGTCAACTTGGTTGCATAGTTAACAGCAAAGCACTACAAACACTACTAACTAGAAGCAAAGCAAACATTTCTGGAATCGACGAAGGGGAGAAAGGAGAACGAGTAACTCTAATGCCTTCTCAAAACTCCTAACTTCAGCACCTAGAACTGAATTCTTCTGGTCATTTCCTCAGACGCAGAGCCAAACACTAGCACAGCAGCTAGAGTTTTTTACGCAAGGGCTGGGATAATCCCGACCAAATGCCCCATTTCCTTTCATCCTGACACGTAAAGGTAAGGGACAGGGAGCCAGTGACCCCTCCTTTGCTCAGCCTGCTCAGGGTTTGCTTCTTCATTCAAAAACACTTGGAATAAGCAGAAGCTCAAGCGGGTAGCTGACTGACAATGAGCTTGATTTGGGCGGGGAAAGGCCAGCGGCAGATCCTACTTTAAGTAACACTGCAAAATGAAAACGGGCCTCTGGCACTCACCCACCTCCCTTTCTATCTCTTTCCAGTCTTTTTTTTTTTTTTTTTTTTTTTTTTTTTTTTTTGAGTTTTATTTATTTTGAGAGAGAGAGAGAGAGAGAGACAGCATGAGCAGGGGAGGAGCAGAGAGAAGGGAAGAGAGAATCCCAAGCCTGACGCGGGGCTCAAACTCACGACCTGTGAGATCATGACCTGAGCCTAAATCAGGAGTCAGCCACTTAAACCTGACCGAGCCCCCTAGGCGCCCCCACCGCTCTCCAGTCTTGGGCTTACAGAGACTCGGTGCTTTTACAGAGCAGGGCGAGCTGTCCTCCCCCAAAGAGACCCACATTCCAAAATTCTCTCTCCTCCTCTTCTCTCTGTTGCCAATCAGCCCCAGACTCCTATTTTGGTTTAGAAGATATGTTCTAAAGGTCTAGGAAACAGGTTGGCATGCTACCACAAAAACGACAGAGACACGAGAAGGCTGAGGCCCCTTCTTCCCCTTACTTCTTTCTCCCAAGAGGGGAAAAAGTAGATGACACTGGGAGAATCTTTCCTTATTTTTTAATTAAAAAAAAAATTTTTTTTAAGTTTGTTTATTTTTGAGAGAGAGACAGAGCACGAGCAGGGGAGGGGCAGAGAGAGGGGGAGACACAGAATCCAAAGCAGCTCCAGGCTCTGAGCTGTCAGCACAGAGCCTGACGTGGGGCTCAAACTCATGAACCATGAGTTCATGACATGAGCCAAAGTCAGATGCTTAACTGACTGAGCCACCCAGGCACCACTTTAATTTAAAAAAAAAAAAATTAATGTTAATTTATTTCTGAGAGAGAGAGAGAGAGGCAGAGAGAAAGGGAGACACAGAATCCAAAGCAGGCTCCAGGCTCTGAGCTGTCAGCCCAGAGCCCGACGCGGGGCTCGAACCCACGAACTGCGAGATCATGAACTGAGCCGAAGTTGGACGCTTAACTGAGTCACCCAGGCACCCCCTTTTTAAAAAAAATTTTAAAGTTTATTTATTTATTTTGAGAGAGAGAGTGAGCAGGGGAGGGGCAGAGAGAATTCCAAGCAGCTTCCACACGGTTAGTGCCTAAATCAGGAGTTGGACGCTTAACCGACTGAGCCACCCAGGTGTCCCCAGGAAAAGCTTTCTAAATAAATACTCTCTCCCACAGGGCTCCTCCCCTACTCAAAAGCACTCTTCAGTAAGCCAGCGCTGTCCCTGGATCTTCAACCCCACCTCCCCATCCACCCCACATACACACCTGTGCACCTGTACCCCGCTTCTGGAGTTTCCCCACCTCCAGGCACCCTCATTGTTCATCTTGGAAGCATTTAGCTCTTTAAGAAATCATAGAAGGAACATTTTTGCCACTAAGTACCTCAATCCTCCTAATATTTGCATCTTGAAGGAACTCAAGTAAATCTCTCATGGAGTAAAATGGATGACATTTGTTTTACAGCCATAAATCCCCTGAACCCTTTTCCTGGCCTGTAAAGGTGGAACTCAACCACCCGTGGCTTTAGCAAGAAAGTCACAGGGGCACCTGGTGACTCAGTTGGTGAAGCGTTTGACTTCACCTCAGGTCACGATCTCAGAGTTTGTAGGTTTGAGCCCTGTGTTGGGCTCTGTGCTGACAGCTCAGAGCCTGGAGCCTGCTTCAGATTCTGTGTCTCCCTCTCTCTCTGTCCCTTCCCCACTCACACTGTGTCTCTGTTTCTCAAAAATGAATAAACATGAAAAAAAAAATTTTTTTAAAGACCGTCACAGTCCTGAACAGCAGACAGGACGGATTCCTGCCGTGCTGTCGCTTGCCCCATGTCGGATTCACTTGCTGGATCCAAGTCGGTATTTTAATTAAAAACTACTTGGGTTTGGCTTGGGAATTTAACAGATTCGTGTGTTCAAGTTCTTGACAGATGTCCTTGATTTTCTGGGAGGGTGCTTATGTGAAAGAGGGAAGCGTGGGGAGCCCAGGCAAAGTCACTGCTGTCTGAACTGGGAGGAACTTCCAGATGCCCCGTTTTGTGCCTTCTGGTGACGTGACCATCTAAGTCTGGCCAACAGGCAAATGGAAAGACGGTCCTGTCCAGAAGGTACAAGCACCCTTATGCAGCTGGAACAGGCCTTTTTAGGCCTTCAGAAATGATCAACTTTAAACTTACAAGTGGGGCTGCTGTGTCCTCACAAACTGGGGATGTAGGTGGCGTCTTCCTTTTTTCCTGTATTGCAGGCTTTACAAATATAACATAGGGCTTGAACTCTGAGGTCCTCAGTTGTTGCAGTGCCTGTGAAAGAAAGTTCAAGAATAGTATGCGTTTCGGAAATACGTTACTGTGAAAACGCTTTTCGAAGGCTCAGTAATGGTGTGCTTCATCACATAACCTCGGTGGCAAACGTCCCGAGCACACGGTCCTATGACACTGGACTTCAGCTGGGCAGACCAGCTGCTCCTTTTCCCGTCCTCCACTTTGACACTGGACTTGGCTGGGCCCCAAAGGCCCACTTGCTGAGAACGAACGTTCCAAAGCTCCAAGAGTTGCCATTTCTTTAAGCCCTGACCCCACAAGCTCTGATTAACCTTCTTATGCCCTTCTCCACCTGCCCAGTCCTGACAGAAGAGGCAGCAAGATTCAACGTGCTTCTATTTAGTCAACTGTCGTCAATTTGGACTAATCCAAAATATGTGTTATCACACAGGCCTCCTTATGATATTCAAAGAAGAAAAGGTTTGCTAAGCAAATGAGGAGACGAAGAAATCATCTGAAACAAACCCTAAAGACTTTATAAGATGTTCAATATGCAAATCATCCTGTTCATTAGCACATATGACCTATAACATTAGGGCGTCAATTTGGAAATACTGCTAAATGTACAATCTGGGGGCGCCTGGGTGGCGCAGTCGGTTAAGCGTCCGACTTCAGCCAGGTCACGATCTCGCGGTCCGTGAGTTCGAGCCCCGCGTCGGGCTCTGGGCTGATGGCTCAGAGCCTGGAGCCTGTTTCCGATTCTGTGTCTCCCTCTCTCTCTGCCCCTCGCCCGTTCATGCTCTGTCTCTCTCTGTCCCAAAAATAAATAAACGTTGAAAAAAAAAAAATTTAAATGTACAATCTGTACCCCGGCCCCCAAAATCAATAAAATCACTTTTCAAAGAAAATGCTGAAATCTAGACTTTTAATTTCGATTACCAACCCCCAGTAAGTCCAAATGAGAGAGGGTTTTCCTCCCTAGACATAATGTGCTTGCTGGAATCTGTTTCAAGCCAACTGCTGTAAAATAAAGCCTTACAGCTTATAGCGTAAGCTGTGTCTATAGAGGAAGAAAAATCCCCAGATTGGGTTCATAGCTTAGAAGTTTTTCTCAAAGACAAGGTTAAAAAAGATGGTTAGGTCCCGGTCAAACACACAGCATGCAGCGTGTGCAGAACTGGAAATGTTTTTGAAGCACTTCACGGGGTCAGGTCTCCCTCTCTTTTCCCTTTCAAACGGCTCTCCTGATCGCCTCCTTCGGTGATTCCCTAAGTCACTGTTTCACTTGTCTGGGGAGGCGGGGGTGGGGGGGGGAAGGAGGCACTAGGGATGCGGGAGGGGGGCGCTGTCCTGATACCGAGAGCTGAGCCCCAGCCTCCACCTGCGCATGGACATCTAATTCCCGGTCACGTCACAGGTGACCACTCGGTGCCGCCATCTACTCCATGATTTACTCCATGCAGAGGCTACTGTCCGAGGCCTGCAGGCCCGCAGAGGGTCCACGAGCGCCCTGCAATTAATGCGGCTTCGTGTATAGATGGGCACAGTCGGGGGTACAACAAGGCTTCCGTTAGATCCTCAAAGGGAGACTGAAGGACATGCAGTACTCTGGACTAGAAAACCCTAAAACTGAAGTTCAAATGCTCTGTAAAATACACAGTCCCCTCGTTTACATATTCCGTCAACAGAAAATGCCCAACTGGCCCAGAAACTCACGTCCGGCTCCACGTCCACCAGACACATTTTGTTTCTGGCCATCACGGCCTGAATGGCGTCCAGGCTGGTTCCATAGAGATTTTCCTTATATTCACCATGCTCCAGGAACCTAAAACACCACCAACGGGGATCAGGCCTTTAGTTCCCAAGCTTGTCTGAGTGAGTGTGGAAAGACGGGCGGACTTTGCACCGCAAATTCTCTCCCGCTTCCCCCATCTCTTCCGAGAGCCCTCCCACGAGGTCAAGTGGACCACTGGACACGTGCGAAGAGCCCCAGCCGCACCGAGGCCAGCCGGGCCGGCAAGTCCACGTACCTGTTATGATGTAAGTCGGCCTCGAATGCTTGCTTAGAGACGAAGTGATATTCCACGCCCTCCTTCTCGTGGCTCTTTCGGGGCCTGGTGGTGTCTTTTAAAGAAAGGAAAAGGGAAACTGGGCAAAGAAATGTCACCCCACGGTGAGCGAGAACAGCGGCAAGCCCGTGGCCGCCTTCCTCTCCGGAACCCATTGCTGCTTTGCGGATAAATGATTTGTCTGTGTCCCTGTGGGGCAGGCACAACCTGTGATGTAGGAAAAGGAGGCCTCCCACTTTGCAGGTGAGGACACTGAGGTGCAGGCTGTGGCTTTTATTTATTTATTTATTTATTTATTTAATGTTTATTGATTTTTGAGAGAGAGAGAGAGAGAGAGAGTGCGCATAAGCAGGGGAGAGGCAGAGAGAGAGGGAGACACAGAATCCAAAGCAGGCTCCAGGCTCTGAGCTGTCAGCCCAGAGCCCGACGCGGGGCTCGAACCCACGAACTGCGAGATCATGACCTGAGCTGAAGTCTGACACTCAACCAACTCAGCCACCCAGGTGCCCCAAGGCCATGGCTTTTAATGAATCACAGAAGGGATCCCTAATCCTAACCTTTGATGTCCAAATTGTTTTTCTTTTTGAGAGCAATGGGGCCCCAAATAGAGATGACGCTGCTGTATGCTTTTAATTCCTTATTCGGCTATTTCTCATTTTGCAAGAAAAGGCATGAAGACAGTCCCGTTATGGACTAGATGTGCCTCAGCAAAGCTGGCTCTCACGCTAATAATTTAAAAACACACAGCGTTTCCCCACTGATTTCTCTAGCAGACTTGAGATGCACACTCGGGGGAAAATCCAGTCCTTCACAGAACAAGAGTACACATGAAGTAACACACCGTTTTCCGGAGCATTCCAAAAGAAAAAATGGGATCTTGAGGGACGTTTTCATGCCCTTGAGAACTACCCGGGGATGCTCTGTGCTCCATATGTGGCATCTCTGTCCAACCTCTGGCAGAGCTGCGGGGTCACTTTTCTGACCATGCCATTCACTTGCTTAAATGCTTTTTATTCACCGCCCATTACACTCTAAAGACCTTAGATGAGTCTCTCCTCCCACATCACCCACACTAACTTCCCCAGTCCCTAACGCTGCTACCCTGGGTCACACCTCCATCCCCGTGGATGCACAAAGGGAACTATTCCTTTCTTCTCTGCCTGGAAAACTCCTATTTATGCTTCAAAACCCAGGCGAAGAGTCACTGCCTCTCTAAAGTGGGAAGAATCGGGAAGCCCTCCTCGACTCTCCTAGTTCCTAAAAGCACGGGGGAAAGTCACCTACCTGTGGTGTGCCTGGAAGCAGGTAGGCCAGACCATCCATATACCCCTGCTCCGGGGGCTGGATCTGGGGGTCTCCAAAGGACCAGAAGCAGTAGGCCGCAGGTGAGAGGCCTTTTGTGTGGCCTCATTAAGGACACGACTGGGCAGGCTGCCTGGTTTGAAACTTGGCTCCACTACTTACCAACTGTGTGACGCTGGGCAAGTTACTTAACCTTTCTGAGCCCCAGTGTCTTCCTCTGCAGGACAGGGTGGTGGTAATCCTTCTCCTCAAGGGTACTGGGAGGGCTGTCCAAGCTACCACACATAAAAGCTCTTGCTACAGGTCCTAGACTCTTCATTCTCCTCTTCCTTATCACATCTGGAACCAGGACCTCCTGCCTACTGGCTCTCAGCATCCACAGCTGCTTCTAGACTCAGGAACTGGCAGGGGCGTTAGCACCTAGGAGGACACCCAGCCCCTCCGAGGGGCTGGAATCCAGCTACAAGGGCTCTCTGGCTTCTCTGAACTGCTCTCTTACCCAAGCAGAGGGCAGCGGCCATCGGGGTCAGAGTCATTGTGAAGAGGAAGCTGGAATGCCCCCTGAGGTTTCCACTTTGCCTGCAATGTGCTCTAGACTCACCTCCCCCCCCCAGGAAGGAACTGGGCAAGTGGACTGGACTGAGAGTGGGCAGAAGTGGCCTTCTGCCTCAAAGGGTCCTAGTGGACCACTGAGAGTGGGTTTCTTATCATGTGTAGGTCTCATGATCTGCATATAGCAGGCAGTGTGTCCATCGGTCCCTCGGACTCAAAGTAAGGATTAGGATGGATATGGGGAGTCAAGCCCCCATGAAATATCCATGCATGTGCGCGTGCGCGCACCCCG